CTACTTTCTATAGAATGTTAGCTAAAGCCCAAAACTATGAATCTTAGTTAATAATTCTTGTGCTACCTTACTTGAAAGCAATACAGGTTGACTCCTAATTCTAATGTATTTTTATTTTCTGTATTGAATAAAATGTTTAAATATCATGAAAGGAAGTGTTTTACAACGGACCACAAAAAATAATCATATGACAAATGCAGATATTGTATAAGATGAGTGGGTGGGAAATATTTTCTATCAAGGTTTTAACATGGTTGTTTATGGGCTTATCATAAGTTAGCTACTTATAAGTGACGTCCTTTAATGTTGCATGTATTTATATACATGACCTCAGAACTTGTCTTCTTAATCTTATACAGTGTACAATGTCTTCATTGTCATCCATTTTTAAGTTGTCATACATTACATACATCTCATAGTGATGTTGTCATTCCTCAGCCCTGACCCGCTCTATGAAGGTGATTGTATATATTAATATAGTTGGTTGACTGACATCATATCCTAAATGGCTAGCACCTCCAGTATACTAATGGTCCATTAGTTTCTTCAGAAAATGCTATTTCTTCTTAATTGCACTTTGAAGGATGATAATAATTATCCGCTACTAAATATCCCATTGAATTTTATTCTTCAGGTAGAACTGAATGTTACTCCCAGAACAGAAGGCACTCTAAAGATAGTTGGTGTGCGGTGGAAATTGTCAGGTTCTGTGGCTGGATTCCGTGAATTTGGTCCTGATTTAACCAGGAAAAGAGTTGCAAAAGCTAAAACAAAATCTAAGCGTAGTTTGATTGATAATCTGCAATTCTTAGTGATCAAGGTTCTGCCTCTATTTAATGCCCGTAATTCATGCTGTACATGCCTATTAAACTAACATTTACAATTTGGCAATTACTGCTCAATATGCAGAGTCTACCTAAGCTTGAAGCATTTATTCATCAGTTACCTAAAACAGTTTATGTGGGAGACTTGCGGCCTATCACTTTAGAGTTAAGGAATCCATGTGAAATTCCCGTGAAGGTATGGGCATCCCCTATTACAGCATTTGTGATAGGAATAGGTTTGCTTTAGGAGTCAAGACTAAAGAGCTCATATTGGAATGCAAAGATCTTATTATTGTTTTTACTTTTGAAGAAGTTTTTATTTTTATTTTTGAATAAATCTGTTGTGTATATATAATTATTAGTGCTTGTTTGTATAATGTTTCTGCATTTACTGCCATGTGAATGTGCTGAGCTTCTGATCAATCTGATGTAACATTTGAGCATCCTCATGGATGTATCGTGTATGAATCTGCTTTTATTTGATTATAGATTATAGATGACAACCCTACATATGTTATGACAGAATTTAAAGATGAAGGTCAGCCCTCCAAGGTTTCTACAAATTGGTCATAAGGAAGCTACGAACATGGAATTTCCTGTTTGCTTGGAGAAGGGAACTGAATCCACTGAAAATTACATACAATCAAAGACCAAAAAAGCATCAAATGGTGTTTTTTCATTTCCTAAGGTCAATCTTAAACTATTGTTTTGCATCAGCTATTTAAGTCGGGATGTATTCCTCATCCTTGTGTGTTTTTAATTTCATTTTCCAGGACATGGTAATTATGGAGGGAACACCCTCCTCGTGGCCTCTTTGGCTTAGAGCTGCTGCTCCTGGAAATGTTTCATTGTATGTAACAATATACTATGAAATGGAAGATACGACAAGCGTAATGAAATATCGTACCTTGCGCATGCAATTTAATTTGGAGGTTTGTCTTGTCTTGAATGCTGATGGCTGTATTATTTGTATCTATTTTCCAAGTTCATTAAATGTTACTGCAGAGTCTGGTGTTCTCATTTGCATGAGGTCATAAAAGATTAATTTCAGCTTCACACTCTTCTCCCTCTAAATAATATCTGGATCGGTGACCATAAATTTCTGAATTTCTTTTTAAAATTTCTGATAGCAACTGTTAATTTGGAATTTTATACTGCAAGTTGTTTATTTGAAATTTTACTCTTGCAATTCAAACCACTTTGTTTGTATGATGTCTTATTGGCTTTTGCAGGTACTTCCATCATTAGATGTCTCATTCCATATCAGCCCTCGTCCTTCTAAATTACAAGAGCTACTTGTGCGGATGGATGTTGTCAATAGGACTAGTGCAGAGAGTTTTCAGGTTCATCAGTTGTCATCTGTTGGAAACAAGTGGGAGATGTCATTGGTCGAGCCAATTGATAATGCCATTTCAACAGATTTTCTAATTGCTGGTCAAGCTGTCTCTTACTTTTTAAAGCTCAAGGTTGGTATTGCAATCTGTAGTGCTTTATACATTGCGCCTGATATACTCTATTTGTGTTTTATCTATGTTTAGGGTCTAATTGTAAATAGTTTACTTTAAGTTAATAGTAACTTTATATTTGTTTGTCATTACTCTATTGCTTACGTGCTTTTGCTTTTCGTTAAAATTCATTACCCTTTTGACTTCAGAATTGCAGAAAACCTGTAACTGAAGAGGAGAGAGCTGCTTCTCTTGGTCCTGCAGAAAGAGCAGATGTGAAACTGAACCATGCCAGTAGTGAAGTACTGCTTGATGTCTACAGATCTCCATTGGTTGAATTTCACGATTGTGAAAGGCTTCACCATGGAATGCCAGGCCAGGTTTTCTTTTTCACTTGTTTTCTTTTAGCTAAATAAAAAAAATGAAAGATTTGTTTTGGATGTATCAACATATGACAAATTTCCCACTACAAAAGTTTCTGTGATAGATAATAATTTTTAACCCCGCTAGGTTTTTCTATTTTCTGCTCTTACAACATTCTGAGTGTAATAACCTATTAATCTTTTACTCTTTTTGCATAAGATGCATTGAAGGAATAAATATATTGTCTTATTTATTTTTTTCACTTTCAATTAGGAGCATCGAGATATGGTTGATTTCATATTGCTGTGCCGACAGCAGAGTGATGACAAATCAGGGCAAAACTCTCTGAATATTTTCACTCACCATGCGTGCTATTGCAGGCAAGTATCCCATTAATTATTTTTATGTTTAAACAGATATTTATAGCATGGTTTTTCAACAGTTCCTAATTTTACTGTTTAAATCTCATGTATGTGGTGGTGAATTACCGAATATGTTTGTTATTATTGTTGACACACTATCTTTCTTGATAGAATAGGATAGGATAATTTATTACCCAAAGAAGTAATTTAGTTCTCTTGTATTTTGTAGAGTGATGAGCACAAGCCCAATATGGTGGCTGCTGGATGGACCCCTGACTATAACACACAACTTTGCTGCTGCTTTCTGTGAAATAAAATTGACAATGAGTGTCCATAACTCCTCAGATTTCCCTGTATCAGTTTCTGTTAGTCCTGCGGATTCTTCAGCCAATCTCAGTTCAGCGAGCAGTGCATCCCCAGCTTCCGGTAATGAAGTGGGCTGGCATGCTTTGTTACAAATGAATGACGTTAAAGTTACATCTGATATCCCCCGAGCCCCAAAGACACTCGTGCCGGAGAGTCCTGCAGCTTTCATGTGGTCAGGTTCAAGTTGGACTCATTTTAAACTCAAGCCATTATCTTCTACAGAAATCCCTCTTCAAATTACCGTGTTTTCTCCTGGGACATATGAGCTGTCAAACTACTTGCTACACTGGAGTTTTTTATCTTCCGGTGATCAAGGGGACAAAGGAGATGTATTGAGACCATCCGGGACTTGCGAGGGGCATCCATACTACATAACCGTGCTACCACAAGATTGAACACTTTTGGAACAATTCTTTTTCCCCATCAATAAGAGTGGAGAAGATGTCTGCAGTAATTTTGTACCTTCAGCTTGTACATCAGAAAGTTTCAATGTACATACACAGAAACCCAAATATTAGGAGAAAACATTCTTTTGACCTTAGAGGGGAACACATGCTCTTTCTTTCCTGGAGCCCATTGAGGGCCAATATATCTATATGACATGACTATATCCACATCCACTGCTTTAGCTTGTGTGAGGTTTCATTCGACTTTTACTGGTCTCTGTACCTTAATCCATCCTTGAATTTTTGCTGGCTTGCTACAGACTATTGTCGGTCAAAGGTTTGAAGTTAATGAAATTTATTTATGGACATTTGCCAGTGTATAATGTTGTTTTTTTGCCCATCTAATCCGGCAAATTATACCATGGATCATTGCATTGTGTACCTTTATTCAAAATGACATCCAGGGTGTGTTTGGTTCGCACATAGGAATCGGAATGGGTATCAAATACTTGGTAATGGTAATGTGTTTTGGTGAAAATATTTAACATGTTTGGTAGTAGGGTGGAATGAGAATGGTTACTAATAATAGTGCTTGAGAATGATTAAGGAATGAAAATCTTATTGTATTTGGGTATGAGTTTTTCAATTAATGGGGTATTTGAAACCCATAGTAGTGTTCTAAAAACCTATCAACCAAATAACAACAATCACACACCCTCAATGTGTTTACAGATAACTTATTATGTAATATAAATAAATTTGATACAATATATTATATATAGGTATGTAATCTTAATGTCATTTTGGAGTAAGGTACTTTAGTATTTAAATGAGGGAGATTAAATTAAACTTTGAAAAAGAAATTCAATTTTTTTTTTGAAAAATTATATCGAAGCTGAGGTCATTGATAGAGGCATGGGGCCAAGAGTATCAACAACTTGCAGAAGAAAAAACAGTAGAGGATTGATTAGTTTACAGGTAATACTTAATGCGTGGGTCACAGTCCAAAAATGATATCATTTTGTGTAATATTTTTACACGACTCAGTGTAATATATATTTTTATAACTCATAATATACCTTATTCTAAAATATAATGTACATTATTCTAACTCAAAAAATATATTATCTTACTTCAGAAGTTTCATTATTCTAACACATACTATAAAATTAAATGATATCGTTTTAGACCGTGGAGCTGTATGGACCACGGTTCACAATAATTTGGGAATGAACCAAAAGACAAGATAGCGCAGTGTAAAAGCTGACAAATAGTGACTATCCAATATTCTCAAGAAATGGTAATAATAATGATAAACCAACCATCCAAAAAACAAAAATTATGAAAATGAAAGAAAAAGCAAATGAAAAATTAAAAGGGTGGGTGGGGCAAGAAAGGAAGGAAGGAAGGTTTGACTTTGACTAACAGGAAAAGCAATCATTTTGATTTCTTCCATGGCTGGATAGAGAGAACAATGATCAAGATGACAATGAGAAGGATGATGATTCCAATGCAAGCCCATTTCCTGCTACTCTTCTGGTGCTCCCTGGCAACCTGGAGATGCTGTGCCCCTCCCCTGATAAAGCTACTAGCCCTATTCACCTGGCTCTCTATATCGTCAAGCTGCTCCCCTTGCGTCTCCACCAGCACCGCCATATCCAAGAACACCTGATGCAGCTCTTTAAGACTCCTCTCCACCTCCTTCACCGCCTCATGCCGCTCCTGAATCTCCAGCACCGTCTCCATCACCTCCCCCCTCCCCTGCTCCTGTATAGCCTTCTGCAGGAACGTCTCGCTCTGTCCCGTGGAGATCAGCCTGTCCACCACCGCCTCCTCCGGTTTCTCCCCCGTCACCGTGAAGTAGCGCCGCTGCACCGTCTCCCGGTACTCCGCCGACATCTTCTGCCGGAGCTCGTTGAACTGGTTCATCGACTCCTGCAGCTTCTTCCTCAGCCCGTTCACCACCGACGTCCGGGTCCGATCCGAGGAGGTCCCCGGTCCGCACCCCGCGATGCTCCGGTTCGCGGCGTTGGACCGGTCCAACGCCTCCAGGCGGACCTTGATGAACTTGGCCTTCTTCAACGCCACGGACACGTCCTTGTCCATCTTGTCCCGTAGATCTTTCACCTGCTTCGCATTGTGGAGAGTCTTGCTGTGTTCATTGGAGGCGTTGAGACGGGCGCAGATGTTCTCCAGTTCCCGGAGCTCGTCCTTGATGGCTTCGACATCCTCAAAAAACTTATCGAGGTTGACTCCTCCGGTGCCGGCGGTCATCTCGATGGAAGCGGCGTTGCTATTCGACCTCAATTCATCCTCTCGGTAACGAGAGAAAGACCCAGAGAAAAGATCATTCATTTTGACTTTCAAGATTGATAATAATAATCCTCTAAAAGATAAAAAAGGAAAAGATATTGGAGGCTTAAATGAAGATGATCTGGTAGATCAGCGCGCAATGAATTCCTGACCGGAATACAGATAGATAGGCGTGGGGTGGGGTTGTTGAAAGAAAGAAAGAAAGAAAGAAAGAAATGGTAGCTACGACTTGGCACTTGGGAGACTAGTATGGGTAAGGCGACGACTCTGTTAACCAGAGAAGAGTCAATTGATATTAATGGTGGGGACTGGGGGCCTAGAAAATAACAAAGAAATCGCCGTAACCGTGAGGGTGGGAGGAGAGGGTCAACAGAGACTAAGGTGAAAGAGACGACTTTTTCTTTTTTTAGATATAAGAAGAAGAGTCAAGAGTGGATCTGGAGATCTCTTACCATATGTAAATTTTGAGTCGATGAATAGGCTAACGGACAGGACAGGACAGGACAGGGAGTGAAGAAGTTTCTGGGAAAGGCCATCCATCCATCCCGCGTTTAGTAGTAATTACACAGTACAAGGTTGTTTTGTTAAGCCGTCATTATTAGTTGTAAAACACGTACTGTTTGGGGCTACAGCCTACAGTTCAACGTCTCCCTTAAGATGATGGGATGAATAATGAAGTTGTTGGAGTGGAATTTACTGCGTTGTGTGAATCAATAAATGGGTACAGCGGTATGATTGATGCCTATGGAACAACAGTCCAGTTTTGTCATTTAAGTCTATAGAAGATTCTTCCCTTCTATACCAAAGTGGTACCATTTATGCTTATAATTTTAGATTAGATGCCGTAAAGTGACAAACACAATGAACTAAGAAATGTGAATTCAAGATCAGGCTGCTTCATTGCCACATCAAATAAGTTTACTGGTATTAATCAAGTAATTAAAAGTAGATTTACGCGTCTAAATAATTAATCTCATCAAATTTACAAAAATATGTTCATTTTTGTCACATAATTAATTAATAAGGAGTAATAGAGACGAATTTTAATTTTATTTTTTTAACATAGCCACAAGCCTACAATCTTATTGAGTTGATAATTTTTAAAATTATACTTTTTTTTTAAAGGTTTTAAAATTATACTTATTTGTAAACTATTTGACGCGTTGGTGAGAGGGTTAGTCTTCACATAAAATTTGTAAGAATTAACATTTCAGGCTTTCATTTTAAATTCGTATTAACTAAAATAAATTATCAAAACTCAAGATGTGAATGCAATTTTGAATTTGATACAACATATGCAAAAGGTAGAATTGCATAATTAGTCAATTTGGTCCTACATTCTAAAATGAGTTAATATCCAAAATCATCCTCGACTATAGGGGTTTTTCTCAATTTCGTCCTAAACGACTTTGGTGACCTAATATCGTCCCAGACTTTTGTGTTTTGCTCAATTTAGTCCTCCATTTGTTATTCCGTCAAATTGATGTTAAATAAAGGGACAATTCAGTAATGTCAATATTGATCTCTCTTTACTTTCAACTTGTGAAGTGCGAAATTCCTCTTTCTTGTACGAATTACACCCAGAATTACTCCCGGACCTGCAAATCAAATTTTATATTCACAGTTTTAGGAGTAATTCTGGGAGTAGTTCGTAAAAAAAAAAAGGGATCTCGCAGTTCACATGTCTATGAGTAAAGAGATGCTAATATTAAAATTACTGAATTGTCTATTTATTTAACACCAAATTGACATAATAACAAATGAGGGACTAAATTGAGCAAAAACACAAAAGTCTGGAACTAAATTGAGCGAAACACAAAAGTCTGGGACAATATTATGTCATCAAAGTCGTTTAGGACGAAATTGAGAAAAACAACTATAGTCGAAGACGATTTTGGATATTAACTCATTCTAAAATATACCGAGTATTGAACCCAAACTATGTCAACTTGATGGTCCGAAATCAGTTTGGGCTAGCTAATCTGGTTTTCGGGCTCAACCCGCAATCTCCTTATTTTCCAGGGGCGTTTCCCATTTTAGCCTTATAATAATACAATTATTTATATCAAAAATAAAAAATAAAATCCACGGAATTGTCCAAAAAACCCCTCGAAAGTCGAAATCCGACCTAAGTCACTGAAACCTTCTACGACGGCCATCGGCGCTCCCAACTGAAGCAGCATCTACCATGGCGACGATGCGAATGATAGGCAACTAATCTCACTTCATTTCCATTTATTTCTTTCCACTATTTATCAAATATCTAATAATTTAATATTTCTGCCTCATTTTTTTTTTTTATTTACTTCTCAAATCAAACAGATATTGCAGTCAACTTTACAGGTCAGTGAGTTCTAAAGCCACTCTTAAATGCGTTTTTTTAAAAAAAAAATAAATTTTCTGAACCTTTATGTGTTACTGTATGAATGGAATCACTATTGCAATTCAGATAGCATGTTCAAAGGAATATACAATGGGAAACAATACCATGCTGCTGATATTCAAGCTGTTTTGAAGCGTGCCTGGACTGCTGGGGTTGATAGGATTATTGTAAATTCTTCTCACTTCCATCGCTTGTCATATTGTTTGCTAAATAGAGTTTGAAGTTTTATGGTGTTTGTTCAATGAGAAAATGCTGGAAAGAGAAGATCTTTATTGTTGAGAGTGAAAGAAATGGTGAAATACATTTTGAATTTGATACTGAGTTGAACATTTAGGTGACAAATTGAAACTCGTGAAAGAAGGGCATAGGGAAAATGGAAAGAATTTTACACCACCTGTCTAGTTCCTTTTTCTGGCTACATATTTGAGACATTCTTTTAGGTTTGTACTTCACTTCACAAAGAGTTCAGTGTTGGTACATAGAAGTACTGAAATACATCATCTGCATGAGATTATCATCTTTTTAGGGCTATATTGTCTTTGCAAATCGTGTGAAAAGTTTTGTAGATAGGAGAAAAGACCATATCGTTTTTTTTTTTTTTTTTTTTTTTTTTTTTCATGGTCTCTTTTCGTCTGCATACCACCAAATTGGAGTGTAAATAAATCTGCAATTTAGGTTCCATTTGGTAGTGTATTTTTCCTGATTTTGTTTTCAGATTTTGTGAAACAAAAAAAAAGTGTGGCAATATTTCTGTTTGAAAAAACCAAAAAGTTTTATTTTAAGCTGTTGCTGAGGAAAGTTCTTCTGGTTTTTGTACTAACTATTAAGGAGAGAACATTTGGGATATACATTTTTTCTTCTATTCCAACACTAGCTCTGATTTGTGGAAGATGAATATTAAGTTTGATTTGTATGATGATAAACTATTATTTATGTGTGTGTTTATGTTATAGGTTACTGGTGGCTCACTTGAGGAATCAAAGGAAGCTCTTGCAATTGCAGAGTCAGATGGTCTACCTTTACATCCTTTATATTGATTCTGTTAACTTCCTCTCTCAGTTATTCTTATTTATGCCATGAAGTAGCTAAGCATGAAAACTAACTTATGGCAGCAAGACTCTTCTGTACGGTAGGAGTGCACCCAACAAGATGCAAAGTGAGTTTTGTTTTGTTCTTGACTAATTTTTTTATTTTTTATTTTTTATTTTTATTTATGTATAGTAGGACATGCTTTTATTTTCTTCTGATGTGTTCATTCAGGAATTTGATGAGAGTGGGGACCCAGAAAAGCATTTTCAAGAACTCTTTTTACTTGCTAAAGAGGGAGTAGAGAAAGGAAAGGTGTGCACTATTTTCTGGCTTGTAAGAAGAAATTTCTTTTGATTGTGAAAGCATGGTTCAGAAGGGATCTTCATGCAGATTGATTGTGAACATAAAATAGATGATTATCCTCGATTTTTTTTTTTTCGTCTGTACTTTAATTATTTTAAATGAAGACATCCTAACAGCTTTTTATCCCCCGTATTCCGTTTCATGTTACTGGTGCTAAATTCTCACTACAAGTAAGGTGGTGGCCATTGGCGAATGTGGATTGGACTATGATAGGCTTCATTTCTGCCCCTCTGAGATTCAAAAGAAGTATGTCTATCAGTAACACCCCCCCTCCCCCCTGGCAACACCAAAAGGGTTGTACTACCTTTATATTTCATTCATATGTTTTTCGGATTTCATTGTGCCTCTTTAATTGAGTTAGCTTTGCCTTCCTTGATCTTTTAAAACAGGTACTTCGAGAAGCAATTTGAATTAGCATATATGATGAAGCTGCCAATGTTCCTTCACATGCGAGCAGCTGCTCAGGATTTCTGTGACATAATAGAAAGGAATAAGGATAAGTAAGACTGCTTACTTGTGAAAGAAGACATAATATGAATTTTCGGTGTTAGTGGTTGATCCAAAGCAGAATTAATAATGGATAAGCATCGTATAATCAATTGTCATTGCCAGTTTTGTTTGCAAACCTGAAGCATCTTTATCATTTACAGGTTTCGTGCTGGGGTTGTTCACTCTTTCACAGATAGTTCAGAAGATCGAGACAAACTTCTTTCATTCAATAGTCTTTTTATAGGTAAATCTTGGGGTTTTTCCCTTCGTTTTTGCTGTGATTTTTAACCTATCCTGCTCACATATTAGAAATTTGAGTTTCTGCATAAGTGTTTTTATTCCTTGGATTATTTTATTAGGTGTTAATGGTTGCTCTCTGAAGACTGCCGAGAACCTTGAGGTTTTAAAGGGTATTCCTGTTGATAGGATGATGATTGAGACAGATTCTCCGTATTGTGAAATCAAGAACACACATGCTGGGATTCATTTTGTGAAGTCTTCGTGGCCATCTAAGAAAAAAGATAAGCATTCTGAAGAATGTATCGTTAAAGGTCGCAACGAGCCTTGTATGGTTAGGTGAGTAACCGAGTGTCAGTACACATCTTGCTTATAGAATTTTCATTATTTTACACATTTACACATCTTTGGATGCTTGGTTTCATCGCTCCTCCTATGTTCTGGCTCACCCGTGTGTTTCTCCAAAATAACTAACTACTACTCGCAGGCAAGTGCTTGAGGTCGTTGCTGGTGCTAAAGGCATTGCTGACGTAGAGAATTTGAGCAAGACACTGTATCACAATACTTGCAGGTGATTGAATCTGTGTAGTCGACTCCCTAGAAGATTCTCTTCCCAGAAATTAGTGTCGGGAAATTTCGTACTTGTTTCTCTAACATGGCAATGGATTTTTGCAGGGTTTTCTTTCCCCATGATTTGGATTCCGCAGCAGAAGCACTCCTTGCTAGCAGCCACAAAAGTGACAAAACAGTGTGAAAGAGCTTTCCGCATTTGTTTGCAAAAGCTTTCTGGTAATCGTTGCATCTTCTAAGAGCTTTCCGCATTTATTCAAATTCAGTCCCAAATTATGAGAAACCCCAGTTTGCTTATCATGGATATGTTGTAGATTATCAGATTATGAATGTATTATTTCACTTGAACTGGGCATGTATTACTGATTGTTTTCTGCCATATTTTGCAATAAAGAATTGTTTTTGATCTAGGAAGAAGAACCTTTATGCAACATACTTTCCACACAAGTATATTACACTCACCAAACCAGATTACACAATACATTGTACATGTATAATAAACACAACAGTCTATGTCTGCAATACTGAATTCAACCTACAGATCTTCATGATCTATTATTGCACATATGGGTCATGTATGGTATGTAAACAAAATGCATTTAGGCCAAAGTGCCCCAAACCATTTCCATTTGAGGCAGCCTAAATGCACCTAAGCCAAGGATGAACTGCCTATATGATAGCCAAGAATGAGTTGCCTGTCAATTGCAACCAAATGATATGATCAAATCGGAGATTCTGGGTTTGGTTGCAATGACAAAAGGGTTAGTGTCTTTCACTAACCCCATCTTTCAGCCTAAGCTGTCAGACTTTGAGGTTGCAGCAGCTATCTGCAGCTGCAGCCATCCACTTACCAGCCATGAGAAAATCATGACCGGTGTTCATCATCATATCTGGCGAAGCCCGAAGAGATGAGTGGAGATGGGCGTTGATTGGATGAGGGCGATGATGATCCTCGGGATCTTCCCTGTCAAACATGCTGCCGACCTCTGAACGTTTGCGCTTGCTCCCAGTTGCGCCCTTCACATCTTTGGTGTTCAGAAAGCGCCCACCACAACCCCTGGGGCGCCGCGTTGCGTGGAGATGGCGCGACAGGTGCAAGTATGGCTGCTTAACATTACAAACCAAACCAAACCAAACCAAAGTTATGCAATCACATAAAAGAAGGCTATTGAAGTAGTATTACATAGACATCTTGTTGGGCAGAGGACGGTGAAAGGTCAAGTCTAGCACCAGATGGCAAGGGAGATTGTAGAGCTGAGGCCTGAAAGGCCAAGTCCAACACCCTGCCTCTTGAAAATGTACGCATTTGCTACTAACTATAGCTTTTAGCATAGTGGTAAGCACTTGATCCTAAAACCACTGTTGCAAAAATCGTGCCTAGGCGCCCTAGGCGGTCCTCAGGCGCCTAGCGATTTTTTCAACATTGCCTAAAACAACTGAACAACTTCTACCTTACGGGGTTTCACTTTGTTCTCCATTTCCGCCTTAGCTCGGCATTTCCTGCGCCTCATTATCCCATGGTACTGCTTCGCATTCACAAATATTGGGCCTTCATCAGAGCTCAAATTCAGCGGCAGCATGATGCGCCCCTGAGAATCATTTCACAGTCAGTCTATTTTTGCAAGAAATTTAGACTAAATCAAAACTTATGTCCCAGAAAAGTGACAAAAATCAGTGAACTTTTATGGATCTAAGCATACTAAATCGAAACATTAGTAGAAGAAGAAGACATACTGCAACTTGAGGTCCATAAGCTGAATAAACTCCATAGCACTGCTCACTGTAGGGATTCTTGGCATAAACCTACACAGTTTTAAGAGAAAAGCAAGCCAAAAGAGATAAGAAGAAACTGAGATTCCTTTGTTAATGTTAATGACACAATGGATATACGATTTACCACTGATTGACCGAATCCAAGCTCAAAGGAACCTCGATATTCAGTACTAGTTGGCTGGACAGAGATTGTAGCCTCAACTTGGGGAAATTTTGTCACATTTCCTGAAGATCAAAATTACTACAAATATAAATAAAGGTCCAAATACTAGTATATATAACTTTCATCAAGATGATACTATCATATTGTCTTTTGATGAGATTGTTTCTTGATAACAGTATTATGCTACCAGCAAAGGGTATCTTCACCATTACATACACTAGCTCCCCTCATCTTCACCATTACATACACACACTTGATCAGACATTTATGACAACCATTGCCCTAGCTATATATCTCATTTTCTGCCTACATGGGCAGCTCAATTGGTCACAGGGGTGAAGTTTGATAACAATGACCCGAGATCGAGTCTTACCAGCGACAGTGTGGGTGCAACCTCTCAAAGTGAGGGGGCTCCTTGTGCGTAGTAAGCAAAGGTCTAGCCTTTGTGTTCAACCGAGTTACCATGATTTAGAGTTTAATGTTGGTCACTCTAGCTAGCTATGCAAACCCACAATTTTTGGTACAGGTTCCTTTATTTGGAAGCTAGCATGATTTGTTCTTGGTATTTGGAATGGAAGCAGTTATTGCCAGTTCAAGTTAAAGTGATTCATGCAAATGTTCTCCATTTACACAAAAAGCCTTCAAAATCACAAATACCACAATGAGCTATGTAATAAACACCAATCATTGGAAAAAAGGACAGAATTTACCAGAAAAAACAGTGAATTGAGGTGGGATCCCCTTTGACAGTGATTGCTCCAATTCCAAAGCTCCTTCACCTTCACTTTGCTTATGGTTCCCAGATGCATCCTTCAACTGCCCCAAAGTCTCATCATAAGCAGTTGGTTGAGCCACACTCCACCATGGCACCATGGGATTTTGAGCAATCCCTTCATGCTCCTTGGAAAACACACTTTGCATAGTCATAAATAACTTCCCTGCTTTCTGAACCAAACTCTTCCTACTTCCTGCACTTCAATCATGAATAAAAATTCAAAAACCCTACAAAATTAATACATTTGCAGTAATATTTACGAACAAATTAATCATGGATCGGAGTATAAAAGGGCTTAAAACTATAACAGCCAAGAGAAAACACCACCATATATCCACATAAACTCACAAGAAGATGAACCGGTTCTTTAACAGAAGTAGCAAAGAAGAAAGACAAGTAGACAGAGAAGAAGCTAATAAAAACATGGGTTTTCTTAATAAAAACAAAAGCTTTAATTTAATTTAATTTAATTACCTAGACTAGAGCTATTATATATATTATACAAAATCAAAGCACAGAGAGCTGGGGAATTGAAGAAAAATGAAGAGGATCAAATTAACTCCACTACTGTAGCTTGAACCAGTCATGTACGGAGAAGACAAAGCTGTAAAGATTCATGAAAATGAGCTGAGGGAGGAGAGAAGCTAACAGAGATCCCATAATATGATAATACATACCCAATATAGTATAGTATAGTATAGGAGAACGAGGAGGAATAACAGTTGTAATCTCGAAATTGTTGGGCGGTCAGTGAGACAAAGCCCATATGCTAGGAGCCATGTCTCTATAATAATTTCAAAGAAGTCCCGAAAGGAGGGATGAAGTGGGTAAAATATAATTCTCATTAATATTATTCAGTCATATTCATATTAAGAAGTTTTTTTTTCAATAAAATTACTCATATCATGAGACAATAATTTCTCCATCATCATTCAGTAATACTGGTTCAGTAGGTAGTATTTGGGAGTAGAAAATAAGGTTCTAATTTGACAGCGGTAGTGTAGGGATTATGTCCAAACTCCAAAGTGGATAGATCCTTTATGGGCACTGGCATTTGGCCATATTTGCTAAGCTGTGGTATTGACATTTGGCCATGTCTGCTGAGCCATTGAGATTATGTCTAAAGTGGGCAGATCATTTGTGCGCACCGGCATTTGGCCTTGTCTGCTGAGTCATTGAAGTCATTGTGATTTACATAAGCTAAAATGATCTGTGGAACTAAAATGTTGGAGGCCCTTGAGATTGGGGATTCAACCATTTGAGAGAAGAATAAAAAAAAAAAAAAAAGCAAGAGAGAGAGCAGGGAGTAGAAAGAGATAGCTTTCTACAAGTGTAGTGGAACTACACGAGTACACGACACTGGCCAATCAAAGATTGCTTTATTGCAAAGTCTTCCTCTTCTTCATTCTTTTTTTTTTTTTTTTTTTTTTTTGGGTGGGGGGTAGGGGGTGTTTAATTTTCTTCTCCCTTGAATAAGACAAATTAACCAGCTAACAATATTTGACGTGCTCTTTTTAAAATATTCAATATATTACTTTTTAAAAAATAGATCTATCTTATTAAAATATAAATATTTACAAGTTTGATTTAGGAACGGTCTATTAACCTTGTTTAAACCGATCGGCTATGAACAATCTAAACTAATTTACTCTTTCTTTACCAGCTACAATTACAAACGTGATTTACTCAATGCATACACTCTGAGTTTCTGTCATCACTCAAAAATAAAAATCTATTGTGTAGAAAATAATGTGCATTATCTTTCAAGCAAGTATTCATTACCATTTGTCTATACATACACTTAGGCACGCAGAATAGTAATATAAATGTAATAAGATAGAGTTCATCATATATTTGTATTATCTGTTCAATTGTTTGTATGTTTATGGAGTGATGTTATTAATTAATTAATTAATTAATTAATTAAAGGCATATTAAAATGGAGTTGATATGTTGATAGTATAGCATTTGGCTGTGAACCCACGAAAGATTCTATTCTTATCTATCTAACCTGCTTTTGTTTTTCAATATTAAACAAAATAACAAAATAAAAATAAAAGATATTTTCACCAATATAGGTTTTTTTTTTTTTTTGTTTTGTTTTGTTTTGTTTTGTTTTGTTTTGTCTTTTTCTTTTTTTCTTTTTTGTTTTTTTTTTTTGTTTATTTTTTGTTTCATACATCACATATCTCTATTAGAATGAGACTAATTTGGATTTGATTCAAATTATGTTCGTAGAGTTTATAATTATATCAATAGCGCACTTATCAACCGTCCCAATAAATCCACTTCTTAATATAATATTACAAGTCTTTATTTTTATTGGTTATCTATTAATTAGTTGATTATATCACAATCAACACACTAGTCAAATGCAAAAAGAACCTAATATGTGTACACCAAGAAATGAACATTAAAAAATGATTTTAGTAGGAAAATGTAACAAAAAATTTAAGAAAATAATACGTGTACTTATGAAAGGTAAAACTACTATCACATGTCCTAGTTTTATTAAGAGAAGAAAATAAAATAAATGAAAATTATATTCTACTGTATTTTTTTTTTTACAAATAAATAAAAGTATTATGGAGTAAAAATATTTAAAAAAAAATGAAAAGTGATAGTAAGTATAGTATTACACCCGTTTCTGAGTGACAAAGATAAAGAATTGAGCTCTAATAATTGTAGGAAAGTATAGTATTGCTCTTCAGGGGTGTGAAGCCCTGGGGCGATGAGATTTTGTCTTTTTGTAGGAAAGTATAGTATTACTCTTTCAACTTAGTCAAGGAGTACTACGAGAAGTGGGTAGTACATGTAATTTGAATTTAAAACAAAACCAAAAAAAAACAATGTTGAGTGTATTTTGTCCTTTAGAAGTGTACTTTGTAAAATTATACTCTTCTTGTGTGTGTGTATATATATATATATATATATATATATATATATATATATATATATATATAATATACTTTTATAAAACATTATATATTGTGGACCAAAGTCTAATTTGTATTGTAGTCTTAGGTATATAAAAATAATATTGCAAATTATGTATCTGAAGTAATGACTTTATGTACATATAGATTTATTTTAAAAAATTAAAAAAATCAATATATGTGTCATTCAAAATATCTCAATTAGTATTAAAAAAAAAAAAAGAGTAAGTATTTTTTTTTAACTAGGGTCCATCCGGAATGGACACTTGTCCACGAAATAACTAGTGACATACAATATTATAATCTTGGGCATTTTAAAGATTTTTCAAAAAATTGAGAAACGTATGCAAATAGGTAGCAACTCACTACTTCAGTAGGAACTAAGAAGTATTTGGGAAAAAATACCAACATTTAAACCTTGGCAGTAACAATGTGTAAATTTTGATCAAAGTAGATAGATCCCTTGTGCGCATTGATATTTGACATAGTCTATTGAGTCATTGAATTAATGTGATTTACCATTCTCCCAAATGGAATTCAAATAGGTAGTTGAAAAGCGTTGGTGGTTGTTGCTATTACTCCGTATTAAATAAATGAATGTAATATTATTATCTTAGTGGGCAATTGGCTGGGCATCTATCCCTATGGATTTCACATTGAGTTGTGCGAATGAATGTATGTTTGGGAGTTTTAAGGTGGTCCTTTCTTTCTTGCCTTGCCCACAGATCTTTAATTTAGGGTTGTCCTATTCATTAATTGTATTTCTTGTACGGTGGTCCTCTATATATTTTTCCTGTATGTGCTGTCAATATTAATAGTGCCCTATCTAATTATATATATTTTATTCATATAAGATAAGAAGTACATACTTATATGAATAAAATATATATAATTAGATAGGGCACTATTATAACTATTATAAATATATATAATTATGTATTTCTTATTTTGTCAACTACCATGTAGTGTAATGATATCCTAATTACCCATCCAAATGGATAGTCATAGGTTTGAATTCGATGGTAGGAACTTAGATTTTTTTATACTCAAAATGTTTAAAAAAGTATAGAGCAGATACTACTTATAAAGAATTATAAGTATTTCAAAAAGAAATGTACTTCTTATTTTTTATATTTTACATAAAAAAATACCATTAAACTTTATCAATAAATATATACCGCAATATAATTATCCCCGTTAATCAGTCATTATCGTTTACTTATGGTTGCTGGCCGCAACTTCTTTTCAGGTTGGTGTTTGCTAATCGCCTATTGTCGCTGTCCCTGTCGGTTTTAAGGATTTTTATCAAACAAATGTTTTGTAGCTGATTTTATTATTATTATTATTATTATTATTATTATTATTATTATTATTATTGTTGTTGTTGTTGTTGTTGTTATTATTATTATTAAACATTTTCATTTTCTTGTATTTAATTTGAGGGGCGGCTAGCGGGGCTAGGGGTTTAAATAACGTTGATAGGCCAGGGTGCAACAGCAATTTTACTGAAGTCCAGCTAATTGCAATTTATTACATAGGATAATTAATTAATTTATTGATGAATAATTGGATAAGTTTAGCGCTTTTGTAGTTTTGTTTATCTTCTGATCTCTAAAGGTACAAAGGGTATGTAAAGTGTAACATTATTGACAGATGAAAACTACAACTCATATTCATCACCATATTGCCTTTTGCATTTGCTTTTCTTGTCTTTTTAAAAGAAAATCTATTTTCACATAATAAAACTATCTAATATAGTTACCGCTTACTATAAAATAAACAGTACTTTGCGAATAATAAAATTAAAAAATATTGGAATCATGACGGCCATATATCTAATAAGAGAAAATACGATTTTAATCTCATGATTATACTAACTTTTTTTTTTTTTTCAAATTGACCAAATTAATAGTGTGATAATGGTTGGTTGGAGGAGAGAAAATTAATTAAGGTTGAATTAATTGTCAATAAAGTTTGCAAGTTGCAACTTTAATTCATTCACTTTGATTTATGAAAAAAATCACAATTGTTACACAAAGGAGCGCTCTAACGTTGTGTTTGGTTCAAAAAAATAAAAATTAAGGGAATAGAATTGAATTTCAATATGAATGGAATAAGAAAAGAGTAAAATGAGAATAATATTCAAATGTTTGGTTCACACATGGAATAAACATGAGATTATATATTTACAGAAAAAATTATATTATTGTGTTTGGTTAGACTAGGCAATAGAAAAAAAATCATTTAAATAACCAAAATACTCCTATTCAAAATAAAACACCTAGTCAAATATATATATATATATATATATATATATATATATATACACACACACACACACACACATGCTCAGCAGCTCAGACATATCTATACACATGTATATATACTTAAAAAAAATTGGAGTAAAAAAAAAAAAGAAAACAGAAATAGATAAATATATACAAGTGCATAGAGCTGGAATAGAAAAACTATATATATTCATGCCCATATGAAACCGGAAAAAAAAAACATAGAAACAAATTAATCATACAAGCTCGAAGGAGGTTTCGAAATATATGTATCCATTTAAAGGGTTTATAAGCGTATTTTTTGTTTAATAAAAAAATAATTATTCTTAATGGACTAGAAATAGCTAATATTAATGAGGGCCTTGATTATGTGAAATTTGATCTATTCAATTATTCATTACCTTAAAAACCAAACCAAACCGCTAAATAGATCTATTTCACGGAATAACATTTCATCCTCAATGTATTTCATGAATCAAATGTCACCTAAGTGAAACCTGTTTTCTGGCTCTAGCCGGCAAAGAATTCGAACCATAAGGTGGTAAACCAACTTAGGTTGCCGACTTAAATCAAGAAGGCTAATAAACAACTCTTATAAAAA